GTTTGACATATTTTTACGTGTAAGCCAAGCTTTCTTAAATACCATTCGATAGAGCGAAGAAAGAGCTACAAAATGATGCATAATTGATTTGATTGCAATATGGGCCACTATATTGAAAGTGCGTATGAATTGTTTGGGAGCACAAAAAGTGCACTTTTCTGCCCATTATTCAGCGGATTTGATAAGAATAATTCAGCTTTTGATAGAAGAGAATGGTATATTTGAAATCAGCATACAAAACTGAGTCGATCCATATAGCTTTGAAAATTTTCTGAGTACTTTTATTTTCGTCCAAAAATTCAGCTGGGGTCCCCCTCAGGGTTAGGTCAAAAAATGAAAACGATTGAAATGCCATTCGGACTGTGAAAAACAAGTTCTGCAGTTCTTAAAAGTTAGGAAAATTAAAAAACACAAATGACTAATAAATAAAAGCACTGTTTTAATGGATTTCATTTTTTGACCTAACCCTGAGGGGGACCCCAGCTGAATTTTTGGACGAAAATAAAAGTACTCAGAAAATTTTCAAAACTATATGGATCGACTCAATTTTTTATGCTGATTTCAGATATACCATTTTCGTCTGTCAAAAGTCGAGTTATTCTTATCAAATTCGCTCAATAATGAGCAGAAAAGTGTACTTTTTATGCTTCAGAACAATTCATGCACCCTTTCGATATAGTGGTCCATGTTGAAATCAAATCAATTATGTATCATTTTGTAGCTCTTTCCTCGCTCTATCGAATGGTATTTAAGAAATCTTGGCTTACACGTAAAAATATGTCAAACAGTTCTAATTATTGTTCGGATGTGAAGTTCTGAATAATACTCCTGTGAAAGGACAGTATTTTCCATGATTAAATTTTTAATGAGAGAATAGTAGTTTTTATATGAAACGATGCAGTATGAAACGCTCTTTCTAACCAATATGGGTTGAGCTTGAAACATTGTCTAAAAGTCGTATATTTTGAGCTAATACTAGACAACTATGAGCCCAATGAAACTTCAATACTTTTTTGCAGGCATTCTCCCTCAAATTGGCTTATAATCCTTACAGCTTGACTTGAAATTATTACCAAAAGTATCAACACATTTTTGTGAATAGGATGGGCAGTAAAGTGACTGAAAATATTATATGGGCCAAATTGGCTTCTTATGCGCCCCTGTCCTTTCGAATGTTACTATAATCAATGATAAAGGTCAATTGGAAACATCTCTGTATCATAAACCAACTGTTGAACTTTATATACTAGTCTATGCATCCGATCATTTACGACATGTTCATGGTAATAGATCATATGCTGCTTTACTGTGTGCCGCTCGTATTTGTTCTGATGTACAGGATTTCAACTCAAAACGTATTCGTATTGATATGACACTGTTAATAAATAATTTTCCATTCAATTTTATATCGAAACAATTCTATCAATTCTTCAAAGGTAATAATGTCATGCCTGTTCTGAACGAATTAAATGATGAAGTTTATCATCGCTTGCATCAACAATTATTGTATCGACATATATGACGTGAAAAGCAACATCACTCTATGACATAAGATTCAGTTCGATCACCAACAGTATTATAACAGAAGACATAGGACCCAAGCACAATGTATTCAGGCTATCTCTTCAAACAGTTCCATATCCTAAAATATACAAAAAATATTTTACAAATGTTGGTGAACACACTATGCACGTGACGGATCAACACTTAAAACTCTTAAATTTCAACTAGTAACCAATACAAGTTGAACACCCAAAACATTATTTCTACACAAGAAGCCTCCAAAAGAAATGTTAACACGAATGGAAGACATATAGACGAAAGCTACTCCCAAGTTACAATTGATCCGTACAAAGCATAGCATTAATAATGAACATTTTTCTTTCTCAAACGATTCATTCATTGCATTTCATCTTTAAATGAGTGCAAATAAATAAATCTCTTCGTTTTGTTTTATACTTTCTCTAATAGACAAAACTACTTTCCAAAACCAGTGTCATAAAATACAAAGTTCATTTTTCTCTTTTTTTTAAAGAAAAACTAACTTCGCAAAATAAAATGAACATTACATAAATGTAAAATTTGTAGTCAATCATCAGCAATGAACGATCTACATTCATCCACTATAATCACTTACACATCATCGTTCGCCACCATATAGAGACAACAAAATGTGTCGTATGCTGCCTTGAATCTAACTTATTGAAAGACACGTTCAGTTTCAAACTGCCACGAAATAAATAATTAAGATATTGAATGTATTCCTTTCGATTTATTATTCGCTGCTGAATGTCTTCTACTTTCATGAAGAATATTGAAGCAAATATTATTGGCGTATTTTAATAGTCTTTTGAAATAATTTTCATGTAGTGTTAGATTCTCAACATACCTCATGATGACTAATTGATCATTAGTCAAAACACGTCGCATGCTGCTTTCAATTTAATTTATTGAAGCATAACCACATCCCACATCCAGTACCCGTACCAAAACCCATACCTACGCCCATACACCCTGACCCAAACCCACACCTAGATTCACAGCCATACTGTGTTTCGTAAGGGAAACCTCTCATGACTATCGCACAAACATCAATCATACTCATGTAAGCATTGGTACAAAACCCATCTGGTGAAGGAATCAGTTAACGGTGAAACTATTTTGTCACGTGATATATTTTTATCTGTTCGATTTTCGTAAGGGAAACTTCTCATGACTATCACCAAACATCAATCATACTCATTAAAACATTGGTATACAACCTCTCAGGTGAAGGAATCAGTTAAACGGTGAAACATTTTTGTCACGTGATATATTTTTATCTGTTCGATTGTCGTAAGGGAAACTTCTCATGACTATCACCAAACATCAATCATACTCATTAAAGCATTGGTATAAAACCTCTCAGGTGAAGGAATCAGTTAACGGTGAAACTATTTTGTCACGTGATATATTTTTATCTGTTCGATTTTCGTAAGGGAAACTTCTCATGACTATCACCAAACATCAATCATACTCATTAAAACATTGGTATAAAACCTCTCAGGTGAAGGAATCAGTTAACGATGAAACATTTTTGTCACGTGATATATTTTTATATGTTCGATTGTCGTAAGGGACACATCCCATAGCGCTTGTCACACTTCGATGATCAGTATAGCAAGGAACAGTAAAAAAACACGTTTCTTCTTTCTGTGGTCTCTTCATTCAATTTTTTATTTTCAATGAATAATTGAAAAGTACATTATGTTTTTTGCCTTTGAGTAAACATTTTCTTGTGAAAAGCTTGTTCTCATTTTGTTTTCTTTTTGTTGTCATTTCTGTTATGAAGCATAGACGAGATCTTGATTTGTGTAGGAGTTTCTTACTAGCTATGAAAGTGTTTATTTTGATCCAGTTTGTCTTTATTCTAGATAAGAAAGAAATTTGTTTCAAGACAACAGATCCAATAATGTTTCGTTTCATATTTTTCTATGGTTTGTTTTTCCTTAGTGTTTTTCCTATTGCTAAAGGCGACGATAGCAACAATAACTCTCAGTTACAACGTCTGTTAAGACGAAGATTTTCCCGTGCAACCTCCTGTTCTGATCCAAAACTATGTCTTTCGCAATATGGCTGGTGTGGAACAGGACTAGCGTATTGTGGTCCAGGTTGTCAAGCGGGTCCTTGCGGCAACATTCAGGCTACCACTAGTAAACCTGTCAGCACATGTGATCTTCCAGTCCAATGTCGGTCGCGATGGGGCTACTGTGGGACAGGATTAGCATACTGTGGTGCTGGCTGTCAAGCGGGTCCATGCGGCAGCAGCGGGAGTAAAAGTAGTATTCCATGTAATCCTACAAGCCTATGCCGGTCTCAATGGGGTTACTGTGGAACAGGATCCGCATATTGTGGGACCGGTTGCCAGGCGGGTCCATGCACGGCGAATAGCACGCAAATAAATTTTGTAAATAATGCAACTGGCACAATTGGTGTTATTGACACTACTAATTTCGCCTGTGCATTTAACCAAATTGATAGTCAATTACGTAATAAATGGTTCACCACATTGCAGCAGACAGGCTGGAAGCCAAGCAACACACAAGAAGCTGCTGTGTTTCTCGCCCATGTATTTCATGAGACAGACGGTCTGAAAACAGTTAAAGAATACTGTGCTCCAGGTATGACATTTCTTAAAATATTGAATATGTGCGAACAATCTCAAAGGTACTTCTATTAGGCATTTAAGAGAGTCTTCGTGACAGCATCGCGAATGGTCATAGTATATGCAGCACTGGATAAGAAAATGTTTTTCCATTTTATCTGCGCATTCGAAGCATCTATGCCTGAAACAAATGACCTGAACGTTTTAGCTTCTAATATCCTTCCTTCGAAAAGTTACGTAGGAACAACTTTGAGCACTATCATACTTCTTCGAGAAAAAATTAGTCAAAATTACTCTTTCCAATTATACTAACTTGCATCTCAGTAGATCATTCAAATTTTTCATGGAATATATGGAAAGATAGGTCATTGCCCGTCGAAAAACATTAGATATTTAAATTATTGTATATCGCCTACTAAGTAGAATTATTGAGTCAAAAAAGTATGGAAGCCGACACAATTCTTCAATTTTTAAGGGTTGATTTTCTACACTATTTTTGATTTTGTGTCTTCAAATTAAGAGACTTCACGTTGAATTTTTGATATGCTATGTAGCTTTTGACTCTGCGAAATAGCATAGAGAAATATTTGAAAAAAATGGTACGCTTAGACCGAAAAGTAGTCAATATTTTCCTTATATCAATAAATATCATGATGGAAAACGACCCAGAATGTATTGTAAATAGCATTGATTCGTGAAAATTTTTATGCCGGAAAAATTAGAACTCCGTCTAGAATAGAACAACATAGATAGTTGTGTCCAGAATGATAAAAAATTTTCGACCTCAATACACTGCTGAGAGAGAGTAAAGGGATTTTGGAAACTTTTGAAATAAAATGTTTTTTTCTTGATTCAACTGGTAATAGTCTCAAATGATAGATCTTGAGAAGGTAATCACAACCATTTAGTAGAAGTCGAACATTAAAGGCAATATTTTATCATGTAATGTTTTTCAATTGAGAATGACTTATTTTTCAATATATTCCAGTAAAAATCTGAATGATTTACTGAGATGCAAGTTAGTATAATTGAAATGAGTAATCTTCACTAATCTTTTTCTCAAAAGTGAATGATAGTGCTCAAAGTCATTCCTACGTAACTTTTCGAAGGAAGAGTATTAGAAGCTAAAACTTTCAGATAATTAGTTTCAGACATGAATGCTTCAATTGCGCGAATAAAACCGAAAAATATTTTTCTATCCGCTGTTTCCAATTCTTAGTATCCTCGTGGATTCTCTCTTAAAGATTAGTTTCTGAGCATATTAATATGAAAATGTACGATAAATCCAGAAGATATGTTATGATAAGTATATATGTCCAATTTGGAGGTACTCAGCTATTCGCAGTTATCATTATTATATTGGTTTGTACTATATAGAACACAGAGGTTTCGTGTACAATGCATGATTACTTTTGTACAAGCTTATCTGTCATCGTTAACCTTTCATCTCTAACGTTAACTTTGATAGATGTTTACCTACAGTTATTTAAAGCCAATGATATAAACTGGTTCAAATTTTTAGAGAGATCGAGAAAATTTCGCTTGATTGTAAGAAGTTCAATAAGACGTTTCATAATATTGGAAAGTTTTAAAGAATCAGAGAAAGTTTCAGAACCTTCTGTGATAGTGCTCGACTTTGGTTCTTAACAGTCGGTTCGGCAAAAAAAGACACATTCCGTAGTGTATCGGTGGATTTCCGATCAGATCTGACTAAAATGAATATTAAACAACATGTTTGAACTCTAGTATCCCTAAAAAATACTTCAAGCTTTCATCGATAGGCTGTGGTTTCGATAAGACGATTTGCATGTCAAATTACAAGCAATATGATATTGACTAATGTCATTTTTTGTATTTGAAAATAGGTTGCGCTGCTAGCTACACCACGACATGGGAGTGCGAGATAACGGCTAATCCGAACAAAAACTACTATGGTCGAGGTTGGTTTCAGCTCTCGTTTCCATGTAACTATTATCGAGCGGGTAAAGATCTCGGCGTCGATCTTCTCAATAACCCGGACCTTGCTGAAAATGATCCTAATCTAGCAGTGACAACGGCACTCTGGTTCTACACGGTGAATAATATGGCCGCATCCGCCAAGCGAGGTGATTTTGCTACTACGACAAGAATCATCAACAGCATAGAGTGTAAGAATGGATTAAGTTATGAAAATCAAAAAACTCGAGTCGCAACGTACACACGTATCCGTAATTGTTTCGCACTCGGAGCGCCTTCCATTAATCCTATGTGCTAGACTCTTTTACTTTGCTTCGTCATAATGAAGGACATTTTTATTTATTAACGATAATTTATCGATCTTTTTCTCTTATTTTAAATAAAGGAGAAATATTTAGCACGAACATTTTATATTGTCCTAG